GTCGGGTGCACAAGAGTCTGTTGTCTGCCAAAGTTGTTCGCAACTGATAGTATCCCGAGATTCTCATCGCCACACCTTCTGATGATCGCAACCAGTGATAACGATTCCTTCTGACTACAACGGCTTGCGATCGTTAGCATTTGGTTGCAATGAGTCGCAATCGCAACCATTCAACATCCCTTTCGACTGCAACGTCTTGCGATCGTTCGCATCCGTTCTCAACGAGTCGTAATGAAAAACATCCAGATTGTAATTTGACATTTTTTATGCTTCGTCCCTTAGACTTGTATCACTCTCTATTTAGGGATCGTGTCTGATGTTGTCGACCATGTCTTCTGAACTCCAAAAGAGTTGCAAGAACCTTGGGGCGTACGACATGAACTAGCAGCTCAAATACATGCTTCAAGAGCAAGCTCAAACTGATAGATTCTAGGTGATGCAATCAATTCTAGGTTGCAAGAAACATGATAATGATTATGTGAGTGACCATGTTCTAAAACTAAAAGGGTACTTTGACAGGCTTCATCGTATTGGCTTCCCATTCACTCAAGAATTAGTTGTTGATGTCATTCTTAACTCTTTGACTAGTGCATATAAGTAGTTCACTATGAACTACTATATGAATGGTTTAGAGAAAAGTATCATGGAGCTACATGGGATGCTCAAGACAACTGAAGAGAGTGTTATTCCACCTAGGAACACAAGCTCAACCATTCATGTTCTGGGTATTAGGGAAGGTGGTTTCAAGAGAAAAATATCATCTCATCCCAATGCTAAGGTAAAAGAGAAAGGGAAAGTTGGTACTCTAAATTCCAACCCTAAAAAGAATGTTTCTAACATACCACAAGTGAATGACCCTAAAGAAGCCATTTCCTACTACTACCAAGAGAAGGGCCATTGGAAACGTAGCTACCCTAAATATTTGGAGGATCTTAAAAAGAACAAGCCCAAAGTTGTTGGCACTTCAAGTATCTTTACAATTGAATTACATTCATCCCCTACTTCTAATAATTAGATACTTGACACGGGATGTGGAACCCACATTTGTTCTAATGTGCATTGACTAAGACGAAGTAGGAAGCTAAGGCATGGAGAGCTTGATTTGATCATGGGTAACAAGAGCAGAGTAGTTGTTACCAATATTAGAGATTACGAGCTTTCTTTAACTTCTAGTTTTTCATTTGTTTTAAAAGATTTTTTATTCAGCATACACGACAAGACACATTGTTTCATTATATTCATTATGGCGTGACGGTTGTACTTTTGGATCTGATAATAATAATGCTAGTATTTTGGTTTACAAAGATAATACTCTTTGTTTGAAAGAAAATCCTTGCAATAGCATATATAAATATGTGATTACTCTAAGTAGAAATGATAACTTAATCTTAGATGTTGGATTATCTACTTTGGATAAATCATGTCTATGGCATTGTCGCTTTGACCATATAAATAAGAGAATCGCCAAGCTCCAATCAGATGGAATCTTCGAACCATTTAACTAAGAGTTTAATGGAGATTGTGAATCTTTTTTACTTGGTAAGATGACTAAGTTTCCTTTCACATGCAACTTTGAGAGAGGGACAAATCTGTTGGACATCATCCATTCGGATGTATGTGTTCCGTTAAAATACATCAGTAGACATGGTGAAAGATACTTTTTCACATTTACTGATGATTTCAGTAAATATAGGTATGTTTATCTGATTAAACATAAGTCTGAGATATTTGATGTATTCATGAATCTCAAGAGAGAAGTAGAGAACCAGTTGGGCAAGAAAATCAAGATACTTCATTCTAATAAGGGCAGAGAGTATCTTAGCGATGAATTCTATGATCATCTTAGAAATTGTGGGATAGTCTCACAATTAGCCCCACCAAGAACACAACACAATGGTATATCTGAAAGGAGAAGCTGAACCTTGCTAGACACGGTTCGTTCTATGATGACTAATACTACACTTCCAATAAGTTTATGGGGTTTTCTCTAGAAATTGCCGCTTATATTCTAAACCTTGTACCAACTAAGAATGTTGAGAAAACACATTCGAAATGTGGAAAGGGACTCGTCCCTCTCTTGAACGAATTAAGGTTTGGGGTTGTGAGGCTTTCGTTCATCGTGAAGCACTCGAAAAACTTGAACCTGGATCAGAAAGTTGTTACTTCATTGGCTATCCCAAAGATTCTTTTGGATAATTGTTCTACAAGCCTACTAAGAACAATATTTTTTTTGTTGCTTGTAGGGCAGACTTTCATGAAAGAGAGTTGTCATCTCAAGAAAATAGTGGGAGTCTAATTGATCTTGATGAGATTCAAGAGTCAACCAATGAAGTACCTGAAGTTGACACTAGACCTTAACAAGAGGTTGAACAGCCTATTGAGGAATCTGATATACTTCCACCACTACCTTGGAGATCTGATAGAGAACATCGTCCACCAGAGTTCTATGTGTTCCATATAATTCAAGAGGATGACAACATGTTAAGCGGTGATGAGCCACACTGCTATCAGAAAGCCATGGCGAGCCCAGAGGCTGCAAAATGTAAAGAGACAATGGATAACGAGATTCAGTCCATGTACGATAACCAAGTATAGAACATGGTTGATCGTACACATGGCCTTAAACCATTGGGTGTGGATGGGCCTTCAAGAAGAAGACCGATGTGTATGGGGACGTACAGACTTATAACGCTCGACTAGTTGCGAAAGGTTATACTCAGACTCAAGAAGTTGATTATAAGGAAACTTTCTCACCAGTAGTTGTGACTAAGTCCATTAGGATACTACTTGGCATAGTTACTTTTCAAGACTATGAAATATGGAAAATGGATGTAAAAATTATTTCCATTAATGGGAAACTGACTCAGGATTTTTACATGGCTCAGCCAGAAGGTTTTGTACAGTCCAAGTCTCCAAATATGGTATGTAAGCTTGAAAAGTTTATATATGGACTCAAACAAGAGCCTCGTAGGTGGAATATTTGTTTCGATGAGAAGATCAAGGAGTTTGGTTTCTTAAGAAATGAAGATGAACAATGTGTGTATGTTAGATCTAATGGGAGGGTAGATGTCTTCCTTATCTTATATGTCGTTGAAATTCTTCTAATAGGAAATGATATCCTAACACTAAAGAGTGTAAAAGCACAGCTTGGGAAGAGTTTCTCTATGAAGGATTTAGGAGAAGCTTCTTACATACACGGTATTAAGATCTACATGGAAAGATCTAAGCGACTAATAGGACTTTGCCAAAACACATACTTAGATAAAATCTTGAAGAGACTCAATATGGAAGAATCTAAAAAGGGATTTGTACCTATGCAACGTGGCATGGTTTGGAGTAAAACCCAATATCCCAGTACTATTGAAGAACTGGAAAAATGAGTCCAATCCTATGCATCGGCTATAGGATTGATCATATATGTCATGATATGTACAATTCTGTAAGTCCCAAAACACTTAGATCAATACGATATCAATCAAACTATCTAAAGAATGCAGAATATGAATCAGATAGTGATTCAGGAACACACAAATAACTCTTAATGCACACGATTTATTAATTGAAATCGTCTGGTACACCAAGAACTTCTTAACAGCCGAAAGCAATAATGATGAACAATTAGAACTCCTAAACGGCTGAAAAGCTATTTATACAAACCTAGTACAAAGCTTTAACAGGCCCAAGCCCAAGCTGACCGAAATCACTATGTGATTTCGGTCCCCATAACCGAAAACACCATAAGCCCACTAACAATAAACATTCCTAAGCCCAAGTACAATAATAAACTAGAAACCCAGCATAAACCATTTAAATATGACCCAAAAATCTCCCCCTTGGTTTATTGTTGGCTGACTTTACGGCTTCTCCACAAGATGAACATCAGAATCAGGCAACGCTCCTGCCCACAGCCTCTTATCAATGATTGTCGTTATCATGCCGGTGAAAGCCTTTGCAGCAGCTTCAAACATTTCATTTTCCACCATAAGATGATGTTTGGATAAAGTATGAATGTCATGGTCGCCAAATTTCAACAAATCCCTAGGATCAACAAGACGAATCGGATCCTTTTTCAACTTGATTACGACAATCGTTGTAGCCTCATCATATACCCAATATAGTAAATCATTCAAAGAACCATCAGGTATACGCTGAGTGATAGGGATCCTTTTCGCTTTATTTGTAGGCGGCCACATAACATTCACCATAGTCTTGTTGGTGCGTGGATCAATAACACCCTTGACCCTTTTAATGAACGATGATGTTGTTTTCAATCCTTCAAAGTTCTGCTTTGCTTTGACTTCTAGGAACTTCTTAAACGCCAATGTCGTGGGTTCATTTATTGGATTGTGGAACGGTGCATGTCAAGCTCTGCAAGATCAACTTTTGTCCAAGACACAAAGTCAATCTTCTTCGCATAGTACTCAATGTTTCCACTCTTTCGCTTTACAATCCACATCTTCTTATCAGCTTCATATCCCCACATAAGAATTCCAGAACGATTACCATATCTGTCAGCAAATTTTCTTTTTCCAATTTCTTTAATAAACATCTTTGGGTGATCACCAGGTGCATTCTGATCAGAGTTTTTCATCATAAGCATTTTGTCTTTCCTCAGCTTATCAACTTTTCTCTGCTTCTACCTTCTTTCTTTAGCTGTGACAGGGCCAGAAGACAGAAATTGATAAAGGTTAGAATCTGGGGTAGGACAAACCACGACTCTTTCAGATGTCTCTGAAGCTTTTTCATCATCAGAACCTGAAGTCTTGAACTTATCACCAAATTTTCCAATTAATTTGTCTTTGAGATCAAAATAAATAGATGTCAACCCGCCAAAATTAGCTTGAAGGTCTGAGATTTGCTTACTCATTTGAGAATTTTCTTTTTCAAGCTCAGAAACTCTCACATCCAAATTGTCAATCAGTAAGTCCTTCTCAATGGACTCCTGCTTCAAAATTATGATCTCTTGTTTGAGCTCAGAAATGGTTTGTTGAGAGTCTTCATCACCTCCTTGCCCTGAGCCAATAGATATTCCCTTTCCTCTTGACTGAGGAATAAAGTCTTTGAAAAGCATGTAGCTTGGCTAATTTGAAAGATGCAGAATCGTGCTCTGGAGGTGGTGGGGCAGAAGAGCTTCCCGAGGCAAAAGTTTCCTCATTAGCTAAGAAGTCTTCGTCAAAAATTGGGCTTCGATCATCTTGATTAACCTGGGTTGGTTCAACATTTGAAGTAGGTTGTTGTACTGGTTCAGTAATAAGCACTCCCGGCCTTGGATCTCTACGTCTTCGCTTTCTTGGCATCAGGGAGGCATTTGAATCATCTTTATCACTCCCAGATGGAAACTCAGTAGTAACAAGAACTATTTGGGGACGCTTCCTCGCAGTTGACTGTAATTTTTCGATAAGGGCTTCCATCTGTTCGGGTGTTGGATCGTTTGGTTGCTTGAAAATGTTGATTTCTTTCTCTGTCTCAGCTAGAGAAATCACAGCCTCATTGACTAGCTCCTTCGATGGTTCAAACATACGAACATCCTCATCATCATCATCATCATCATTATCATTAACATCATGATCATCATCATCAGAAACATCATCAAAACCCTCAAACGAAAAACCGAGATTTGATTTTGATGGTGTCACATGTTCTTCAGCCTCCATAGCAATTGGAACACCAGCAGTTTGAATACCTTCTATCTCTGCGAATTTACCAAATTTCACCAGTGCTTTTGTTCCCTTGAAAACAACCTTTGACGCTTTCTGTATTTGTTTCATGAGTCCAAAGGTGTTTGGACCCAGGGATTTGACATCAAGAGTATCGGGGGTCCTTTCCAGCTCGGGATGCCTGGCATCAAAGATCATTTGTAAAAATCGAGGATACATCAATAAAATATCATTCTTTTTCCCAGAAAGGTTGCTCCTCTTTTCGTCAAAAACAAATTTTGAGAAATTGTACTCCCAGTCCATTGTTAGTGCTACAAAGGCTAATATTGATGTTTGGCTTATCTCGTCCGACCCGCCCTTTCTTCCAAAGATGCAGCTAAAAAAATTATGAGCCAAAAATCTCCAGTAAAGGGGAAGTAGCTTCTTGACTGTTGGAGGAAAAATTCCTTCGTAATTCATCTTCTTTAATACTTCTGTGATCTTGGCAGCAGGGAGTTCTGTTGGGAAAGCAAGTTTATCTCCGAATTAAAGCACTTCCTGAATGACTTGCTCTGTAATAATAATTTGCTTGCCTTTCACAGAGGATTCAATAGCACCAGCACCATCCGATCCTTCACAGTTGAACGATGCATTACTCCAGAAATCATTAATCATGTCCTTGCGTATGACTGGATTGACACGTAGACCGTGGGAAATTCTGCAATTCTTCAAACCCACGATCATGGATTCGAATTCATTGTGAACGGCAGGTGGATCCAGGAGATATCCAACAATATTGTGAGAATCAACAAACTTCAACTAGTCCGCCATTTATCTGCACCAAACGAGCCAAGTGAGAACAATAAAAATTAAAATTAAAATTCTATTTTCTCAAAAATTCAAACTTTGGTTAAAAAGGTTGATTTCGGTCAAAAGTAAGTGATTTCAGTCAAAACATAGTGATTTCGGTCAAAGAAGGATGTTTTCGGTCAGATTAAGCTGTTTTTGGTTGGATTCGATCGATTTCGGTCGGACCCGAGTCAAACCGAAAACCCGACGTTTCAAAATTTTCAAACCCTCAATAATTTCGTCGGAAACCCACCATTAAACTCGCCGGAAACCCTTTGAACACCTGCAAAAACTCCAAGAAAGGATATAATAATTGAAGCATGCTACTCAAAATCCACATACCTAGTCAAAATTGCAAAGAATCAAAGAAAAAATTAATGATTTGAGCTGAGAATGAAGATAAATAGATGAACAGTGAGCAAGAGGGGTTTTCGCTTAGATTTTGTGAGAAGGAAGGTGATTTCGGCGGTGGAAATGTGATTGAAACAAAAAACCCCTATTAAACCCTAAAATGGGTTCTCGGCCCTTGGGCCACCGAATTCGGTGGGCCCCAAAATAAAATCCATTTAACAATTCATTTCTTAGATTAACAATGAAATGAAATAAACTAAAATTTAAAATTTGAATTGAATGCAAATTAAATGCAAAATAAAAATAAAATAAAATAAAAATTTTAGAAATAAAATAAAATAAACTAAAACAAACACATTTTAATAACTAAATTTAAAACTTTTGGGATCAAAAGTTGTCAAGCAATTTAATATCGTTTATCAGCACACACCTGCATGGATAACTCTGGTCAATCACCAATATTGTGATCCACTTAAACACAAATGATATTTGCAAGTTGGACAGATTATAAGGGACAAGACATTGCAATTATATTCCTAAATAGACCATTTTGCTGACGACGACCAAGGATATTGTTGTCCACTTAAATTCAGCAGCGAGATCTACAGTCAACCTTTAGTCATGAACCAATTCAATTTTAAGCGCACTAGAACGTGTTCCCCACTTCACGACATACCCTAGCAATCAAGGAATTCCAAAGAGCTCTTTACTTTATGTGAGTGTTCAATTATATGAGAGAGAAGATGGATATAGAGATGCATATGATGTATCCCAGGTCAGATCTCTTCCAATCACGCAGAGGGACAACATATGACTAACATAGATAGAGGGATAGAGAGATAGAAAGGTGCATATGTTGTGTCCCAGGTTGGATCTCTTCCAATCACGCAGAGGGGACAACATATGACTGACATAGATAGATAGAGAGATGCAGAGATAGAGAGATGCATACATATGTTGCATCCCAGGTCGGATCTCTTCCAATCACGCAAAGGGGGCAACATATGACTGACATAGAGGATAAGAAAGAAAAACAATTTCATACAGACCTACTTTATCAGAACCTCCCAGTCACCCTATCAGCACCAGAATTACGGACATAAGTTTGTACGTCGAAGAAGTGTTGAGCCACAATTCTAGATGATAAGTAACTTTAATGTATCTCGCAGGCTCCCTTGTTTATCTCACTGCTCAATCTATCTGAGTGTCGTATGGTCAGTCCAAATGTAACTATCTAAGTCCATATGAGTTAACACAGTCAAGTCCTTTCATTGTCAACAGTGTCTAGTCCTTTCATTTTGAATCCTTCGTTCCTACCAGCACATTGAACACAGAGTCTAAACAATTCAGCTTCAGTGCATTACACGTATTTCATATTGCCGTTTAACACTAAACTTCATATCACTTCCCAATAACACTTACGAAAGAAGACATATTTTTGGAATTTTTGATTTTATAATTTTTTTAATAATTTTTTTTATATATATTTGATTTCTCCCCCTAAATTTGTGCATAAGGAAGAAAGGAAATAAAATAAATGCGTAAATTTAAACAAACAAAAAAAATAAAAAATTAGTCTTTGAAACGAATCATTTTCAGAAAACCCACAAGCACATGGAAAAGAGCCTTACTGAAAGGTTTGGTGAACAAATCCGCCACATTTTTATCGGTGTGTATTTGTTCCAAATGAATGAGCTTACGCTCATAACAGTCTCGAATAAAATGAACTTTAATGTCGATGTTCTTGGTTTTTGAATGTTGAACGGGATTCTTTTGCAATTTCAATGGCCGCATCATTATCACAGAAAATGGAGGTATCAAGAAAATTCAAACCGTAATCCAGCAATTGGTGTTAAATCCAGATAACTGAGAGCAACAGGCTGAGGCGAAAATGTATTCAGCCTCAGCAGTCGAGGTTGACACTGTTTGCTGTTTCTTGCATTGCCATGACACCAATCGGTCCACCAAGAACTGACATCCACCCGATGTAGATTTTTTGTCAAGATCACAACCTTCATAGTTGCTATCAGCAAAAGCATATAAATCAAATTCGGGATTTTTAGGATACCAAAGACCCAATTTATGGATACCTTTAAGGTACCTAAAAATCCTTTTAACAACAATTAAATGGAAAAGTTTAGGATTAGCCTGATAACGAGCGCATTGACAGACGGAAAACATGATGTCAGGTATGCTGGCAGTCAGATACATCATAGATCCGATCATCGATCAATATTCAGTTTGATCTACAGATTCTCCTTCTGGATTTGACGTCAACAGTGGTCTTTCTGCCATTGGAGTGGAAGCAATTTTTGAATCTTTAAACCCGAACTTTTCTAGCATGCCTTCCACATATTTGCCTTGATGTAGTAAAATTCCAGCCAACTCTTGTCGAACTTGTAACCCTAGAAACATTGTCATTTCACCCAGTGAGCTCATCTCAAATCTTTTCTTCATTACTTCCTCGAACTCTTTGCATAGCTCTGTGTTGGTTGACCCGAAAATCATGTCGTCTACATAGATTTGGACGACAATCAAATTTGCATCCACTTTCTTGATGAATAACGTCCGATCGATCGTTCCCCTTGTGTGCTCGTGCTCCAACAGATGATCAGTTAAGGTAGCATACCAAGCTCTAGGAGCCTGATGCAAACCATATAGAGCCTTGTCCAGTTTGTAGACGTGATTTGGAAACTTTAGATTGACAAACCCTGGTGGTTGATCAACATAAATCTCCTCCTTCATGACTCCGTACAAAAAGGCTATCTTGACCTCCATCTGATAAACCGTAAACCCCATGTGGGAAGCGTAAGCTAGGAATATACGAATGACCAAACGAGCTTTGTTGCATACAATCACCCTGCAATCATCTTGCTTATTTCTAAACACCCAACGTGTATCTAAAGAGTTCTTGCCCTTTGGTAGCTCAACCAACTGCCATACTTTCAACTTCTCGAACTGATTTAGCTCTTCATGCATTGCATCCACCCAGCTCGGTTCATTTAGAGCCATGTCCACATTCTTTGGTTCAATTTGAGATATGAAGCACGAGTAAAGACACTCATTGACATGTCCACTTTGACTTCTGGTAAGAACCCCGCGTTCTAGTGGACCGATAATGTTCTGGATAGGATGATCGCGTTGAACACTGGTTGTGGTTGGATGGCTAATATCATTGACTGTTACTGGAAGATTTGTGATGTTTTCAAATCTGCTCACTTCTGAATCACCCCCTCCAGACGGTATGTGATCATGAGAAGTACTTGCCACAAATTCATTTGCGAACGGTTCTGGAAAGAGAAATTCCATGAAAGTTTGTGTGGCAGTTACATTGTCCCTTGACAGAATCTCAGCTTCTTCGGGAGTAAGGGGAGTGGCTTCGGTGTCGAAACTAGACTTTTGGACTGGTGAGGAAGGAGGTGTACTTGGTGTAGCTGCATATATCGTAGGGGATTCAAGAATCACCACAGATGGTTTGAATGAGCCAATGACAACATCTTCCTCATCATCTTCAACAGCTGCACTCGAACCTGAATATGAACCTGAAACATCATTTGAAAACACATTAAATGATTTAAACAAAGAAGTGTGATCAAATAACCAGTCTGGTCCAACTCGAGCTTCCGTCGCGTTCTCTTCCAGCCAGGGCACATTGAATGACTCCACGATATGTTTTGTGGATTTGTTGTAAACTCGATACGCAGTGCGTCCAGCATATCCCACGAAATAGCATTCATCAGCTTTTGAATTAATCTTAGGAGTTGAATCCAGGTGAAGTAGCGTGCAAGGGCATCCAAAGATCCTAAAGTGAGCAACCA